CTTATTAAAAACTGAAACATAGGTTTTTTATAGCGATTTTCATTTGGCATGGTTTTCCATATAAGAGTGAATTTTTCAAGTTACATGGTTTTTTATGGGATGTATCTTCCATGTAAAATGGGGGATAGGTGTATAGCAATTGTGCTAATACAACTCTTGAGCATTATTATTTTTTTTTCTTTTAGTTTATTTATATTCTGTCAGTTTCTCTTAAGCCATGATAAAACATTGTTTTTGTTTCATATTATTTTTTTATTATTTTTGTATAATGGAAAATTTGTATTCACAGAAAATTTCTAAAAGGCTACACTTGTCAAAGTCAAAACTATCTAAGTTTAATGAATCTGGGCAGCTCGTAGTTTTCTATTTGACTTCTGTTATTTGGGGAGCCGATGCTATTCTTAGAGAAGGATTCTTAGGAAACATCTCCGCTCTATGGGAAGGTAAACACTGCATTAATCTTTATTAAAATTCAACATTTAAAGTCATTATCATTTTAAGTTTAACAATACTGATTTATTTATTTGAAATATAGGTTTTCCAAATCATCCAATGGGATTTTTGATGAAGCTTTTCTTCATTTTTCAACTTTCTTATTGGATTCATGTTTTGCCGGAATTATATTTCCAACGGATTAAGAAGGAAGAATGGGGTGCTCGAATTCAACAGGCTCTCTGTGGATTAACTTTTGTTGGAGCGGCTTATTTCTTCCAGTAATTAGTTTTTTTATATACAATTTTGGAATGAAGTGTGACAAATCACTAATCGACTAATTTTATTTATCTTATTTTAGCTTGCAACGTGTTGCATTATGTTTACTTGTTCTGCATTATTTTTCGGAATTTGTATTTCATTCTGTACGATTGGTTGAAATTCTTGACAAGGATGAAAAAGTCACTTCAGGTAATTTTTTTTAAATTGTGTATCTTATAGGATTAATTATTAGTGATTGATCAATTTTTTCACCTAACAATATAGCCAATATTCTTAAAATATATTGATGGATTATACTACAAATTATCTAAATCTAATTAATAAAAAAAAAAACTATTGATTTGGCAATTAAATCAAAAGTGAAAATGTTATCTTGAAATTTCATGAATATTTTGTTGTTTTGAACCAAAAGTAATAAATGTGTATTCATAAAATTAGACACAATACTGTTAAAGAATTACAATTAGTATAGTGCATTTACGTAACTTATTGTGCATAAATTCTAAAGTTAATTTGTGTATGTTTTGCCTGTAATAGTATTTGTTGTTTTTCAAATTTAACATAATGTTAAAAAAAATTGAAACAAAAATTAAGATTATTATAGAATTATATATTTTTATATAGGATGCGCCATCAACATGTGGTAAATGGAATGGAAAGTTTTGTTTGTGCAATGAAGGGGGTCACTTGATCGATGTTGTTTTGTGAACCTAGTTGGAAAAAGTTACAAGGCTTTCAATTTGATAATAAAAGTTTATCAAAATTCATTGAAAATTGTTCAAGTTATTCAACATTTCCATTGACCACATATAAATGGCGTACCCTGTATTGCTCATTTAACATGGAAAGACTTATTTATAAAATTTTGTACAGTAAAATAATGAAGTGTCAGCATTTTGAGCAATTAAAATCTAGATTGAGGCTAAAATGTCATTATTTGTAATACCATTATTTATAGAAAATGTCTTTAAAATTAAAAATGCCTCAAACCAGTCGATAAGAGCCTAATAATTATGGGACTCTATAATGTAATCTATTGCAAAATAATCTAAGTAAATATCTACCTATCAAAAATATGATGTATTCTATGCTTGTTTACAGCTTGCAGTCTAGTTACTCGTCTAACATTTGTTGTTGTTCATGTTGCTACTATTACTTTATCTGTCTTGACCTTCTGGTATGGATTGGCTCAAAACATAGTTCCTGCACCTTATGTGTTGCGTATTGGATCTCTTCTTGCTGTTCTTTCTCTACAAGCTTTTCTGATGTTCACGTTCATCACAGGACAATTGGCTAGAGCACGCGAACAAAAGAGTGCTATCAGTGCTGCTTTTAATCTTAAAGGCAAAAAAGATTCGAAGAAGGATAAAAGTAAAAAGGATAAAGGTGAATAATATTAATATTATTATTAATTTATAACATGTTTAGATGTTAAATTTTGAATTATCTCAAGCATTTGTTTGGAAAGTTTTTTTTTTTTTTTTATAAAGAGATAACATACAATTATATATTTCCAAAACTTTAAAAGAAATATGCTTTAAAAATTACTTTTTCTTAATGGTGCATTCCTAATGGTGCATTGTGTTTATTTATTAATGGTTTTCTAGATTTTTTTTTATTAATGCAATGATAATTGGAATTTATTGCGTTCAGAGGTTTATATGTGTTTATTGTAAATAATATAATTTGAATCGATCAATTAGCTTCTATTTGCTTTGAATTGTTTGAATTTATAGATTTAATGTTCTTATTTTTCAGAAAGTATTTGTTTTTTTTTTTAATACATATAATCTTTCTTTTTTTAAAACTATTACATATTATTGAAAATTTTTTAGGTAAACGAGAAGAATCGGACCTTCCTGAGGTAGATCAAAACACGCACAAAAATCTTAGATCTCGATCTGCAGCTCAAGCTAAGGCAAAATAATTTATTTTTGTTTACCAGAAAATCATTTTGCGAGATCGTTTTGTTTATAATGTGAATAATTCATATGTTGAATAATTCAAACATTTTTAATCATACGAGTGTATATTTTATTCCATTCTTTTATTGATTTTATCATACTTTTTATACCATATATAATGTATCTTGTAAAATCATGTTGACCATTTTAAATACTATACTTGTTTCATATTTGAGATGAATGTGGGGATGTGAGAATTTGCAATTGTATAAATATATATTATATAGAACATATAATCTATTTTAATAAAAAATATGTATTTTACATGTATTGTTTTTTTTTTATCCTTTTATCTTGTATTTGAACTTTTATCCTGTAATTACGTACTGCATTGTTGAACATAAATTTATGATAGGTGAGCAGTAGTTGAATCAAAATAGATTATGTAAATAAAGTTGTATAGTATATTTACTTAATAATGAGGAATAACTTATTTTGTAGATGCAAGCACGGGCAGCTCCTCAGATATATTGAATAATTGGAACTGAAAACATGTTGGAGCAATTAATAGAGATGTGTTTACAATGAAGTAGCCTGCTTGTTTATCCTTTGAGCAATTTAAATTAAAAAAAAAACAAAATATTCCGTTAAAAAAAAACAATATTTCAAATTTAAATAAAATTAATTAATAGGTCAGGTTTGGTTCAAATTTATTAGTAAAATTGATATAAATTAATAAATTAACAATTACGAAAATGACTACATCAAGACAAGTGGAAGGAGATCGCAGACTTCTGCAGTTTAAAACTTATGAGGACTATTTAGATTCTTTGACAACAACTTCTGATCTTTGTTACTTGCAAAGTACTGAAGCAGCTAGATCAATTGCAGAACTCGGATACAGGTCAGACACTTGTATTATTATGATTTGTTGCCATGCGTGTATTTACTTAGCGTAATTTAGCTTTACGAATTGCTCGCTCGTTCTACCGTATTTAGAAAAAAAGGGTTATATGATAAAAAAATGTAAAAAATACTTATAATATAACTAACAGTAAATTTTAAAAAGATGACACTGTCTTGTCACTGCATAGATTTTTTGTAAGAATGAGCAACCTTTCTATCCCACGGCCTGCATTTTATTTTTAAAATTTTATGGTGGGCTGCACTTATTAAGAATTCACAAAAAATACAAAATTAAAAACAATAAATATTACATAAATTAATGCAAAACACAGTATTATTAATTTATTGATGAAAGAAAGCTGATGATATAAATAAAATTCTACTTTAGAAATGCTTGGCGGGCCGCAGAAAGGGCCGCATGATTCTCGTGGGCCGCGGGTTGCTCATCCTTGATCTATTCTATTCGTCACTTTAGTACAAACTGAGTTATTATGCATACAAACTACAGAGTACCTGGGAAGACAGCCGAGCGATATACTAGACTTACGTTGTTTTCAAGAGGAAACAGCCGAGCGCAAAGGGTTAAAGTCGCATTAATTGGTTTTTAGTGAAACAAAACTTCATTTCAGAAATAAACAGTTGAAAAGTTTATCTAAATAACTAAATTTCAATAGTTATTTATGTTCATGAAACTTACTTTAAGGGGGCTTCCATTAATTACGTGAGCCTTAGGGGATGAAAGGTTTGACAAAAAATCACGAAATTATTACGTGGGGGAAAGGAGGTTCTAGTAAGATATCACGTGTATTTAATTTTACCTCAATACAAACGAAAAGCCAACATTTTTCATAAACAATTCAAAAATTTTACGATTTTTTCTAGGTACTATAGTACCTATTATATAAAATAGACGTAATGTTTGGCGTGGGAGGGGGGTTGTAATTTTAAATATCACCAACGGGGAGGAGAAGATAAAAAAATCCTTATAAATCGCTCACGTGATTACGGGACGCCCTCTTAGGGGGTGTCCATTAATCACGTGAGAGAGTTTTTAAGGATTTTTGGACCCCCCCTCCCCCTTGGTGATCCATGGTGATATTCAAAATACCCCCCCCCCACCAAACATCACATGCATTTTCAGTTACGTGATAAAACTGTAATTTTTTAATTTTTTTTTGAAAATGTTTGATTTTTTTTAAAAAGTCAGTTAAAAAATAAATACACGTGATATCTTACTAGACCCCTCCCTCCCCCAGGTGATACTTTGTGATTTTTTGTCAGACCCCCCTCCCCCTAAAAACCTCACGTGATTAATGGATGCCCCCTAAGGCAAAGTACCACTCATACCCAGTTTGTCGTTTTCTTCAGGAGTTCGGGCGAAACTTTAACAAAGGATGCTTTTATTCGTCGCCTCGCTGCAGTAACGGAATATGTGTATCCCAGTCGCAAACATTACATATTGTGCAGCGAGGGAATGAAGAGTAACGAGCAGCTCCATCAAGAGCTGGCGCTAAGGGAGCGCTCGAATCGAGTCGGACTGTTGGCGGTACGACATGCGGCAGTTTATGATAAAAATTGCATAACAATATTCATTTTATTGGCATTTCATGTCAATCGGGTCGTATTTGTTGTCGGAAATGCAGTGAATATTTAAATTTTCATAAATTTGTGGAATATATTTTTATACTAGGAACTTGGTTTGGATAATTCCGAGTGCATTCATAAATTTTTTTAATAATTGTTGTGAAAAATTAAATTCAATGGACAAAACAAAACATTAGACGGCACACCGCATGGTATTTGCGCATGGCAGCAAAGGTATTTATTAACTTAAGCATTTCATCACTCTTCTCACACTAATGATTAGTACATATTTTGATAAACAAAATAAGGTTGCGTTTGGTTATGCTCATGGGTATTATCATTTTGCTCGGATGATAGACTACATAAATTCAGTGTAAATATTTTTTTTATATAGTAATTATACTCCTATCCTTAAATGGACAAGTAAAACAGTGGAATTAAATAAAAGTACATTAAACATACACAATATTTTTACCATTGTCAGATTTGAAATATTTAATCATATGTGCCCATAATTATGAAAGTGGTCTAAGTCATATATTTCTTGTTTCGAGATATTTAATGATTTGCATTTGAATAAATTAAAAAATATTTTTACATTATGCGACATTTTAATTTTTAATTTTATTAGTCTTACTTAATGGAAATTTATTATGAATATGAAATTTTGTGTGAATTTCATACGATAATATTGTTTTTAAAGGTCGAATTGACTTAGATCATTTTCAAAATTAACTGAATGTCATATAAATGACTTAAAGCAATAAAAAACTTTGAGTTTTATTTGAAACAATAATTTTATTGAAATAATTCGTGAGCATTTATTAATTATTTTTAAACGGTAATCCATTTTTATCATTATTTCGAGTATTTAAGATTCTTAAAATGTTCCTGAAAAACTGGAGGGATGTACGGTAGTAAACTCATAATATTTTTGTTTTTCTTCCGATACTGGTCTAATGCTGGTGTATAATGGAAGTAATTTAATATTTCCGTATATTTTTGGCCTTTCTCTTTTAGGTGAAAGATCCAAAACGTGAAATGTAGAATCATCTAAAGAAGTTTTATAAAACATAAAAAATTTTATAAGGTTTATTTTTCAAGAATCTGATCCATTGAATTTGTAGCCAAGAGACAGATTCGCCCGCGGTATTTTTTACTATTCTTGTTATTGTATCTTCTAATGATTTCGTTGAAATAAAATCCGGCTGCGACATTCGCTTTATCGAAAATGTATTGCTTCTTCTGCACTTTTCTATCAATTCATAATAATGCTCAGGGTTGTATAAGTAATTTGTGTTTTTCATTTTCATTTCTATCAACCCAAAATCACGATCATTCGGTAGAAAGGAATGACCTGATACCAAAATTTTTGACTTAGACCACTTTCATAATTAACACTAAATGAATTTCATATAATGTTGAAATTACAACCACTATCTAACGGTTCATTTTTGACAATTTCGTAAAAATTACATTGAATACATTTAGTTTAAACTAATGTGGTATGAAATAACTGATAAACTCATTTTTTTTAAATTTTGACTTAGACCACTTTCATAATTATGGGCACATATGTAACAAGATTTTTTTTAATCTTGGCCTTATGACGTAGTTCTCTGCCTAGTAGATGGTAAGTGGGTTTGGATAATCCTCGAGACTTTTGTAATCGTCTGAATGTATTCATATTTCATCGTTTATTGAGTATACATACTTTTGGGCAATTAATTTTTTTTGCCATTTATTTTAAACTGATCCCCATTGTACAACATATGTCCACATTGGATTAATAATAGGTTTGTACAAGTAAATTGTGTTGTGCATGTCAAGTTTTTATTTCTTCCTGAGGAGTCAGTGAAATCTCCTTCTCGCCTCCAAGTTGCTGTCTCTTCTTCTTGATGGGCTCTTTCTAGGTTAGCTTTTTATCTAAATGGAAACTCAGATCTTTTACCGTGTCTGTTTGTTCTATAATAAATAAAAGTTTTTCAGTTATTCGAGACGTAATGAAAGCAATATTTGTAAGTGGCGTAACTATAGGGTGGAAGGAATGGCAAAATGCCATGGGTCACCGATCCATAAAGGCTACGGCCCAAAAGGCTGCCCAAAATTATTTACATGGATTCCTGTAAGCGACGATTTTGATCCATAACTATGACGAGCATAGCCCGCGTACGATGGCTAGGCCAAATAAATATTACGGGCATAACCCGATACGGTGATCGAACAAAATGTAAATATTACGTGGAATATTTGATACGCAATTATAAACTTATGCAATGTGTTAGACGCAAGTTTTTTTTATTTTCTTATAAATTACAATCTGTCTAAATAAAAAGACATTGAGTAATTAGTTTGACAAATAACATATTAAATTTTAAAAGGAAAACTTAGTGGTTCACCTTTTATTAGTGTACTAAATTATATTATAATTTTGGTATAATAAAGGAAAAAAAGAAACTCAAGTATACATACAATTATAAACAAAGTACATTACACAGACTACATATACACATACATACACACACCTATTTTAAATAATATTGTATAACAACTTATTACTGATTAATATGTTAGATCTATTAATTGTATTTTTTTAAATCTTATATTATGTGTGGTGTTGTAAAGACTTGCAATCAGTTCGTTTGGATGGTAGTCAATTTTAGTCTTGAAATTATGGGCACTCTTTTTAATTTTTTCACTGATTGTCAGTGTATCCGTGTCTTGGTGAAATAGCCATGTCGGTACATACCTTGGCGCGGATATTGCTTGTCTGAATATTTTATTTTGAAATCGTTGCATTTTTTGTAAGTTACTGACTTTAGCAGCACCCCATAGATGGATGCCATACATCCAAACTGGTTTGAGAATAACTTTGTATAATAAAATTGTATTGTACATCGACAGTTTTAATCTAGTGTTAGGCGCAAGTATTACAAAATATTTATTTATACAACGCATAAATACAAAATTACTTTTGTGATAAACTACACACTGTATGTTTATTTTATACACACTGTATGTTGGATCAATGTGTTTTGGAAATGGCCACGAACGCTGCGGGAACTTGTACAATTATGGCCCAACATTTTTAAATCTAATTTGTAGGTTAAGGGGTTAATTATGATAGATTATTCTTCTGCTTTGTTATTTGATCACAGAATTCATTATCAGTACCACCTACTCCTGCGAGAAGGCCAGTAGTGGAACCATATACAACTTGTAATTGAGTACGCCGTAAAACTTCGTAGTTAAAATTAAATCGAGTGCAAAGTGACGATTTTTACTTAACAAGGACTGACAAAATATTTTGCAACGGGCTCCATTTGATCTGATTTTTACGGCCGAGTTTCAGTCGATAATTACTTACTAGTTGCAAGTAGCATTTTGCTTTAAGGCAAGTTATATGGTCTTTTCGATACGTATAAATAATCGATCCGAATAACAACGATCGAGTTGAAGTTTAGATATTTAAAGTAAAATATGTTCAATTTGATACTAGTTTTCGCATTCGTTAAAAACTAAGTGTAAAAAGTTATGAAATATCAAACATTTAGAAAAAGGAAACACGTATCTACGATCAAACTTACTTCTGTATTTGCACAAGGCTAAAATCAAAATTATATATAAATTATATCGACACTGGAATCAACCTGCTATGCATTTTGTATTTGCTTTCAAATTCACTGTAAAAAATTATAAAATAAATTTGATACTTATAAATGAGTTTTTCAATGTTTTCACATTCATATAAAACAAATTTCCTTTCAATTCCTCATTTACTTTTAGAATTACGCTGCATAATTTCGCGTTTAGAGAATGTACGTTTTCATAAAAATTTAGCGTCAAGTTGCTGGCAGGTAAACGCCGAAAAATACGTGTCCTTACCGCGTTCATCAAATGTATTTTAAGTGATTGAAATAGGTACAGCTGATTTTGAGAAATCGATAAATTGAAAAACTCATACACACTCATATCTTTTTCCAATTTTTTTTTTTTTTAATTTTATTTGGTCTCGCTTACTCTGAGCATTTAGCCACTTACAAACATTTTTATTTATTTACATTCTAATTTTTTATATCATTTTCAATCTATTTATGTATCCTATTCTATATTCTTAATTTTTCTTCTTATTTTCTTCAATTCTAGCTCTTTTTTTCAAATTTCTAATTCTATATAACTTCTAGCTTCATTCCATTTTTTTTCTTCATTCTTCTTTCAAGTTCCAATATTTCTCTTCTTACTCCTAATTCAATTCTACTATTCGAACTCTGTTATTTCTATTTTTCTTAATTTTTATTCAAATTCTATTTAAGAAATACAATTTTTATTTGATTTCAAATTAACTACACATATTTTTTTCCTAAATTCTAAATCATTGACAGTATTTGATTCGAAGATCCCTGTCGTGTGAATCGAACACGCTACCAAAGAGCTATGCTCTCCACTTTTCTAATTTTCGTATCAAATGATTCAGAATGACTTGACACATCGAAAAATCGTAAAATTAACAAATCGAGTTTAGGCAGCGTCTATTAATCATGTGGGGTTTTTAGGGGTAGGGGGGGGTTGACAAAAAATCACGAAATATCACGTGGGGTATAGTAAGATATCACGTGTATGTATTTTTACCTAATTTTTTTTTTAAAAAATCCAAACATTTGCAAAAAAAAAAACAAAAACTTCAAAATTTTTTCTCGTAACTAAAAATACATGTGATGTTTGGTGGAGGAAGGAAGGGGGGGTAATTTTGAATATCACTACGTATCACCAAGGGGGAGGGGAGTCCGAAAAATCCTTAAAAAATCGATCACGTGATTAATGGACGCCCCCTTACTGCCAGAATCATGAAATTCTGGTTCAGGAAGTTAAAAAATATATAAATATATAGTCTTAGCCATATTGAATTTAAATTTATTTATTCTTATAGTAATTTTATTACGATTTTTGGTAACAGACTATTATATTTCTGCGTCATTACACCAAAACGGGTTTTGAAATATCAGGATACATAGACTACGCTGAAAAATTAGTGACCGATGATTGGACGGACTTTTTCAAAGGCAATAAGCGTCTTTGGCCCAAGACCAACGATCTAGGGTACTACCACTGGCGCGTTGGCAGAAGTACTTGTAACGACACGAACAACTACAAAGTATGTTTCATTTAGAAATATTTTAATAACAATTCAAAAACCAAAGCATATAAAGTAGACTTAGCCGTAAAATAGACCAATGTTAAAGCTTAAGGTTTTTACATAAAATGGTTCTAAGACTGTCAAAATGCTATGTGGTTCTACTGCCTTATGCACAGCAAATATATAGCATATTGACAGTTTTTAGTATCATTTTATATGAAAAACGCAGCGTAATATTGATTTATTTCACGACAGAATCTGCCCCTTATCTTGTTCTTGAGAATATGAAGAAATTTATTTAAATATTTTATCATATTTTATTAACAGATGAAAAATTGAAGCATGTAGACTTGACCTAATTTGTGCTAGAGAATATAGAAAATAATTACAACATGAAGAAACATTTTATTAAGAATCATAAATTAAACGTTATATGTGCATAAAAATATAAAGAAGCAATCAAAATAAAACATACACTTATAAATAATTTAATAGAATAAAAAGTCGTATAAAGAAAGTAATTTATAAAAAAATTAAAACTGAAGAATAATTTTATGTTTTTAATTGATTATTAGTTCTAGACCATATATTGTTTCCGGCATTATGTTTACTATATAATTTTGCGCAGGCAATAGTAGACCCACACAGGGGACTATTATTCCAAAATCGTCACGATCGTCTAATCATTTGCCCGGATCCAAGTCTACCGTCTCCCGGAAGCAATACTACCCGTACCCGAATTTTTACGGACAGATATGAACACGTCGTTTTGTATGATCACGTAGTCCGTAGTAAATGCTGATACATTTCTGTTATCAACTATATTTATAATCTTATTATATCAAGGCTTATTTTAGGCAAAAGTATTAACGATAATTGTTATATATTAATTGTTACAATTGCCACAACTCGACATTTTATACTAACTTATTTATTTGCTCTAAATAAAATATGTATATTATTTATATTTTTGTTTATTTATTTTATTTCGTGTATAAATTAAAATCAGCCATAATTAAATTTGATGTTAAAGTTATAGTTGCTTATACCCGGACTACAACAAAATTGCTGATGGAATAGGTGCAGATATTAAAAAAAAGTTACAGTTGCTACCATCTCTGTTATTGGCAAACTTCTTGCTGTCAGTGACATTTTATACCTTATCCCGATATCTAAATATTGAGTTGTTTTTATTAACTTCTCGTAGGGTAAGTTATTGTGATCGTCCAAAAATCGAAATTGAAAACTTTCACATTTTTTCACGTTTTGAAGGTTTCTCAACATTTATCATACCTCAGGAAAAAAGGATGTGTGTGTGTGTGTATGTATGTATGCATACAATTTTTCGTCCACGTTTTCGGGCGCAGGGATCAACCAATTTAAATGGTTCGAAAAACATTTGATTCCTATTGATAGGGAGATGTACTGATAAGTTTTTGGCAAAGGGGCCGGTCCAGTCATTGCAGAAAATAGAAATCGAGTTTCTGAGAGAATGGAGCATCCGATTTGAATGATCTAAAGAACATTTGTAATGACAGGGAGAAGTGGTGGTTAGGTTTTGGCAACGGCAGGTCCAGCCGTTTTGGAGATGCCGTGCTCAATGTGCAAAAAATGGCAGTTTTTGAGAGAAATAAGCATCCGATTTGAATGATTCAAAAAACTTTCTGCTTGTTATGACAAAATAATTGCTTTAATTCTATAAAAAAGTATATATATATACTAAGATATGGTAGAACTTAGGACAGTAAAAGGAAGGATGAGTAAGTTAAATATGAAGTAATAGATCATTTCACATGATATTTATGGAAATTATAAATATAAATTATTGGTTAATTATGAAGTTTGGAAGTCTGAAATTATTGTACCAAAAGATGTCTTCAGTTGTTTCACCAGTCATTTTGACATTGATATTGTCACTATCAGTGCACCTTTCTAGAAATTGTTTGTGACTTTAATGAAGTCTTTGATTTTTAAGATATTTGCTTTTTCGTGAATATTGTTAGAAGTGAGGTTGTGCGTTACTGGGTCTCTTTTTTCTTCGAAAATCGGTTTTACCATTTTATTTTGAGAAATTTGTGTATTTGATATTATGTTGGCTAGTTGCACACCAAATAGGCCATCCATATAGAAGTAATGAGCAAATCATTATAATATAGGTTTTTTTCTTATTATGTAAATTTAGCCCGTTACTAGTTTTAAGTAGAGGATATAAAGATAAGAAAAAGTTTGTTTGCTTGTTTAATTTTGGTGTTTAAGTGTTCTGTAACGTTAAGCTTTCTGTCAAGTAGAATTTTGAGATACTTCACATTTATTTTTAATGGAATGGAATAATTGCTGATATAAACTAACCAGTTAGGTATATATTTGGGAATATCTAGCAATATTTGCTTTGATTCCATATGCGATTTTACCATCACTTTAAATATTGATCAATCAAACGAGTTTATCAATAATAATGAAGACCTAACGAATCGATTTCAAATTTGAAAAAATTACAAAGTATCACTAATCAATTCTTGGACAAGAACAAAATGAAAAAGCTGATGTTTCGAACAAATTTAGAATTCTTAAAATAAATGGCAGTCTTTTTAAAATAAATAAAAATTAATTTTTATTACAAAGATCTGCTCGATCAATCCTCATATCAATCCATGTGGTTTTGATCCTTTTGAAATGGATTTAGATATTTCGAATTCTACGAGCAGATAAGATGAATATTCTTCTTAACCACATCCCTTTTTAAGAGGCATCTCATCGGTTGGAATCTATTTAATGTATTTATTATTAGTTCTTTTAGTACTGATGATGCCATCAAATAACTGCTATATGTGGCTTACAAAAATCAAAGTATTGAATAACTCCTAATAATATTTCCTAAATTATCGTGGCTCAACGTAACTCATAATGCATCTATATAAAATAAATAAAATATGGTTTAGATTAAATCAAAATTTTTAATATATTAATTTGAATTATGTAATACAAATTACAGTTTACAGAATTACATATAATTTGTGACATCACTTGCAACATTGATCTAAAAATTTAATTTGAACATATGTATGAACTATTTCTGTTGTTGAATTATTGGACAAAGTTATTACTAGAATTTTGAAGCATTTAATATAGTATATTTAAAAACAACTGGTTCTTGAAAATGGGATTATTAGCCAGTATTTCTCTTTTATTCAGTACTATCGTACTTACTCTTGCGGGTCACCATTCCATTATCAAGCTTGAATTTCTGAAAAAGGAATGCAGCAAATTTTTAATGTAAAATAAAAATACGATTTTTATAAAAATATTCTTAATTCATAAAATTTGCAAGAAAAATGGCTTTCAAATACATGTTTGTTATAATAATGTCGTCATATAAAGCTATATCTTTGAAAATTTAGGTAAGTAGTTGCTTATAAAATAGTTTTATTGTGCGTTCAACATGTTTTGAAATAATTTCTGAAAAATATAATGCTATTTTATTTATTTGCCTAGTCAGTACTGACCTGTATAGCCTTTTGTACAGGATATTCCAAAAGATTTTGTGCTTTAACTTCTTCTTCAACTTTCTTTGCATATTGCAGGAAGAATTCGTCAGTATCTTTGTAATTGAGGTTCACATCGTCGAAAGCTAGGCCTTCCTTCGCTCTTTCTTCTCTGACCCGTGCGTTTAAGGCCTGCAATAAACAGTTTATTTAATTGCAATTTGTAATTTAAACTAGTGGGGCGCATGGCATCGTGCCTTAAGGCAAATTGCTGGAACTTTCCGTACCGTAATTAAACATTCGAAGAATGAAAATAATGAATAATTGTTTTGATTAGTTTCAAATGGATTATTACATACTGTAAACTTATAAGTGATTTTTAAATTGGGCGACGAGCGGTTTTTTATTAACAACTTATGTGTACGTTTACAAGAGTCAATTTTTTTTAAATTTGATTTTTTTTTGATAATTTAGAATTTTTTTCATAATTTAGAGATTTTTTTGAAAACATAAAAAAACGTTTTTTCTAAATATTTTGAAAATTTGGAATTTTTTAAAAATATTCGATCTTTTTTTGAAATTATCGAAATATACTCAAATTTTTGTAAGAAATCTTTTTTTTTCAATTGTTCAAAATTTAGTTTTTTTTGAAAATTTTGATTTTTTCATTTTTGAAAGTTTTCAAAATTATTTAAATTTTCTGTGAATGCATTTTTTGCACACAGTCTACTCAAGCAAATTTTTATTTGAATTAATCTATTCGGATGATCCGTTCTCTCAAAAACTGCATAACCGTTTTTACACCCGTTGCGCATCATACCTCCGAAACGGCAAAATTGCCTTTTGCAAAAACGCCTCGCAATCGAGTAAGAACCGAATGATTTCTCAATTTCATAAATCGGTTATTCCATACTGTCAAAAATGTCGAGGACATTTGTTTGAACCATATAAATAAACTTCAAAATTAAAAATCTTGGTACAGGACCCAAAAAAATTCACACAAAATGTGTACACAATGTTAAAATCTTTATAAAATATCTGATAATTTGATGTACATATGTCCAATAAACATTTTTGAAAGCCAAATGGCATTATTTTAACTTATTTTTATTGAGAGTCCATAACCGCTAGACCTGCCTCACCAAAAATTTAATCAAGATATTCATTTTGTTAATACAATAAAATGTTTTATGGATTATTAAAATCGGATGTTCCGTTCTCTTAAAAACTTTTCAAATCGGTTGATCGGTGTTCCCGAAATCGTCGACGAAAATTTGTATCCGCACACACACACATACATCAATTTTTTCTAAGGTATGGCAAAATATTCAGAAATCTTTGAAACGTAAAGATATATAAAAATTTTCATTTTCGATTTTTTTTGCGATTACTATAACTTACCCTACGGGAAGTTAAAAAATAATGCCTGGAAACCATAATCTGTTAATTGTTATATAAAATAAATAGTTCAAAATGTTATTTCAATAGTAAAATATAAATTCTTTTTGATTAAGTATATTATTTCCACCTTTCGAGAAATTCATGCAACTTGCTTTGGTAAAATGCCACTTACAACCACTTTTTTTGTACAGTCATAGTCTCAAAATATTCTAAAATGCTTTATGTTTGGCATTCTGGAATATTTTGTTTCTTTAAACATTTCAATTAAAATAGCACTTGATCATTGCTTTATACGCATTACGAATATACTCGCCAATATGCAATATTCTGCCACTTGTTCATGACGAGTATATTCGTCAATCACAGTCAAAAATAGATCGTTATAATATTATTTGCTTTGTAAATTATACTAAATGCAAATTTATATATCTAATGTTCTGTAATCCAATCAATTATTTTACAATTATTAAACATAATTTTTTGATTAATAGGCCAATTCTGCCATAAAATAAACCAACGGAAGGCTATGTTATGTAGCATTTTTTATATAAAGTGATACTAAAGTGGCAATTGACAAAATGCTATGTATTTGCTGTACCATCAGGCGTTTTACACATAATATGTAACTTCACTCGTATGTTATTACGCCACATCTCAAAGATGCACTTATGATGATGCTTTTTTGACGTTTGTACGTTTTCGGTTAGATTTTCACACAGCAACCACATTTTTGATAGTTTTTAGTACGACTTTGTATGAAAAATGCTACGTAACTTTGACTTGCCATAACATTGGTCAATTTTACGGCCCATAAAGCCACCATTTATTCACGAGTCGCATCGTGTCTTTAAACAAAATAACGCTCTGTCCCTAGAAACTGCGTTGGCAGCCCTTGATTGTAATACATTTCTGATTGATTTAAATTTAAATATATAACAGCGTAAATAAAAACGTTATTGAAATACTAACAATTTGTTCAGAGAGGATTCTATCGGTATTTTCTAATTCGGCCTGTCTTGCCA